AGCAGTCTGGGTTTTGTTTTGCTTTGTTTTTTTTACCCGAGACAGAGTTTCTCTGTATAGAAAGTCCTTGCTGTCCTAGAACTTGCATTATTGATTTGTGTGTAATTCTCTGCTTTTCCTGTTTGCATTTGTTTGTATACATATCTGTTATTCTTAATGCATGTTATGCTTAAAAGTGGAAACATACTAGTACTGAGTCCATTCCTAACTCTGATTTGTCTCCTACCCAAGATTTTATCAAGCTGTGTTCTGTGAAATACACTGATCCAGCATACTTGGGTGGCTGAGAAAGTTTTATCAAGTCAGTTTAGTGCAGCACATTGGTTAGAGTTTATCCAGGCACGTGGGCATGTAAAGGCTCCGGTTTTTACAGTAAACAAGATTGTCCATGTTTATCTTGAAACCCTCCATAAACGCTTGAATATAAAACACTGTAATGTGTAGGGTTGTTTTGGTCATGCTGATCTGGAAAATGTGATGAAAAGTATGAATAAGGTTTTCTTTAAAGCTTTTTAAAACTTCAAATAAAATTGACTGCTTCTGACTAACTTTTCAAAAATTAAAGCCTTTTGATAACTGATGATTATATTTTCTTACAGAAATTATATTTTTAAGTACAGTGTTGATTTTTTTTCACCTGAGAAATTACCTTTCAGTACTGTGGAGTCTTTAAAGAGAATCTGTAAGACTATAAAGATTGTGCCTTTTTTGTTGGAAAGGATTTCTTTGTTTTTTATGCTAAACTATGTTTCTTCCATATATAGTTAAAAAGTATGTTTACTATTTCAGAGAGCATGACACCGGAAAGGAGGCCTCCCAAACTTGCCTTTATGTCAAGAGATGATGGTGACAAAGGTTCATCTAGTATTAATGAACCAAAGGTTACAGGTATGGAGCCCATTCTTGGTAATTTACAATAAGATAATATGATTCTCCAAGATGTTAAATAAGCTTTATGTTATTGTTTGTATGTGTGTGTATATGTATATATATATATATGTATACATATAGTTTGTTCCTACACTTTATGTCAACTAAAATTTTATGTACATGATTTTAAGTGAGGATGTAGTAAAGAATCCACTGAAATGGCCAGCCTATGAGCTGTGGAGGGAGCTTTTTATTTGGATAAGAGAGAACAGCTGGCGGTGTTACACGCCTTCAATCCCAGCTCTCAGGAGGCAAAGGCAGGTGGATCTCTGTGTTTGAGGCCAGCCTGGTTGACAGAGCAAGTTCCAGTGAAAAACACTAGAGAGGGAGAGAGAGAGAGAGAGAGAGAGAGAGAGAGAGAAAGAGAGAGAGAGGGAGGGAGGTTCTAATACACACCAGAAAAAGTTTCGGCCTGTGTTCTGCTTGTTCTGCTGAGCTTTGTCTAAATGAACCTTTAGGAGCTGACTGCCATGCATTCACACGGAGTATCCACAGTTTCACTTGGGAAGAACAAGTCCCCAAGGATGATGTCATGTACAGCTGCCAGGGTGCAGCTTTTGGTGCTTTTGCTTATTTTTTTGTACAGCTTTTCTGAGTTGGCTTGGGCAGAATCTTCTTTGAGCAGTGAAGACTGCATGCTTGCCACTAAACTTTTTCTCTAATTCATGAACCATCCGGACTTGGATTTTCTGGAAAGATTTCTTCTGAGAAACTGGTGCTAAAATAAGGATTGCTTTCTGACCATCACCAGCTTCAGTTTCCTTGGCTGTGGTGGGTGATACTGAGTTTCCAAGCTGTGCCTTGAGATCAGAGTTCATCTCCAGCTCAAGCAGTGCATGAGAGATGCTAGACTCGAAATCATGTCTTCTTGTCGTCATCAGGCTTCCTAGTCTTGGTGCTTGAGGTGATCCTGGCCTTCTCCTGAAAGGAGGAAAGTACCCCTGGTCATATGGGTCGTGGGCTGCATTGTCAGGCCATTGACAGGCACAGGCCGAATATTCCACCACATCCCTAATGAGGGCACAGAGCCTCGGAGGTCCATCCTCCTAAACTACAAAGAACAAGAAATTGTGTTAATAAAATTCTAAGATGTTTATATTGTAAATCTAAAAAAATATATTATTTCTTTTGTAATGTTGGGGATCAAAGTCAACAGAACCTTATAAGCTAGGTAAGTACTTTTTTACTCAGGTATTGTTCCAGACACTGAGATTACTTTTTTATTTTTATTTTTTGGTGCTTGCTTCAAATCTTGCATCTTACACAAACTAAAATAGGACTCTACTCCTGATCCATATATCCACCCAAAACCTGAATGTTTTTTAACTTAATTTGTTCATCAGCTTGTATGATCACATTTGAAGTTTATGAAGGGAAATTATAATGATGAGCCACTTATTACTGGGATGAGTTCTGAGAAGTGCATCATTCGGCAGTTTTTGTGTGTGTGTGTGTGTGTGTGTGTGTGTGTGTGTGTGTGTGACTTTTTAATGAGACCTCTTGTTTGTTCCCAGCTGCTCAGCCCCAAAATAATCACACAGAAACCATATTATTTGCAATACTGTTTGGCCAATAGCTTAAGCATATTTCTGGCTAACTCATCTTAAATTAACCCATCTCCATTAATCTATGTATTGCCACGAGGCTGTGGTCTACCGGGTAAAGTTCCGGCATCTCCTGTGGGGCTATATGGCTTCTCACTGACTCTGCCCTTCTTCCTCCCAGCATTCAGTTTTCCCCACCTAGCTCTGTTCTACTCTATCAGGCCAAGCCTATTTCTTTATTAACCAATGGTATTCACAGCATGCGGAGGAGAATCCCACATCATGTGACCATCATAGAATGCACTTCACAAACCTTGGTGAAAGAACTTTGTGTATGTCTAGGCTCTATAACACTGCTGGATGTTCTTTTGTTGACTGCAACGGGGTTTCATTCTGTGGATCGTGACCCCTTTGGGGTTTGAATGACCCTTTATTGGGATCGTTTAAGACCTTTAGAAAAGAAAGATATTTATATTACAATTCATAACAGTGGCAAAATTGCAGTAATAAAGTAACAACGAAAATAATTTTCTGGTTGGGGTTTGCCACAGTTTGAGGTATTGTATTAAAGGGTGTCAGATTTAGGAAGGTGGAAAACCACTGTTATATGGTATGAATGATAGAGGTGAAATTCGTGAGCCAGTAATTTCATCAAAGTAGAGGTGACATTGAAAAATAGACTACATGGAATGATTTTTTTTGTCCAGATTTCTTTAGATAGTCTGTAGTGTCCTCGAACTTGCTCAATAGACCAGGATGGCCTCAAACTCAGATGTGCCTGCCTCTACTAAGTGCTGGGATTAAAGGCTCGTGTCACCACTGACCACCAGAATGGTTTCTTAGAGCTTTAATATAAACGGCTAACTTTTATATTAATTTTATTACTCCTACTCTCTTCTGTGTTGACTAATTACCAAACTTTTAAAGCCGAAGACAATACAATATTATGTATATGTATATTAGTTGTGTGAGCAGTTGTTCTACCATACGCATGTTAATTTATTTATAAAATTTCTTTTTATAACATATTGGCTTTTTTAAAAAGGAACTTTTCTTGTTCCATAGGATCTACCTCAGACCCTGGAAGTAGAAGCAGTTCTGAATTGTTTTGTTCCTTAATTAGGTCATCTGTTGACTCACAACAACAATCCAAATCCAAAAATTCATTGTATATTGATGAAGGTAATCTATAATTTTAGTCCTCTTTATAATGGTACCCTCTGTTTAATATGTAAGGGGAAATGACTTTTTCATCAATATTTGTTAATTTTGGAAACAGTGAATAGATCATAGCTAACATGACAATATTGCTGAACTAAAATATTAAACATAGTTTCAACTACACTGTTATTAGGGTTGAGGATACATTTGAAATATGTTAGTAGTCTGGGTTTTGTTTTGCTTTGTTTTTTTTACCCATGACAGGTTTCTCTGTATAAAAAGTCCTGGCTGTCCTAGAACTTGCTCTGTTGAGTAGACTGGCCTCGAACTCACAGAGACTCACCTGCTTCTGGTTCCTGAGTGTTGAGATTAAAAGTGTACACCACTATGCCCAGCAGTTTGTTCTTATCTCTTAATACACCTTCTTAGGATCAACTGTTTCTAGAAATGAAGTGACTCATTTAAAGCCTTGCCTATCTTCCTTTCTTTAAAACACACTACCTTTCCTTGTTTCCTAGATATCATTCTCCTTTCATGTATTTATTTCCTTCATCTGTGCAAGTTAATTACCTGGAAATCCTTCTAGTTCCTCCAGTTCAATGGTCTGGCTGACTGCTCTTCACCTCTTAAACTGAAACCTTTTCTCCCGCTGTACTCACTCACTCTCTTAGGTTAGGTTAAGTGTCCCTGAAGTGGTTTTGGTTATTTGCCTGTATTTTCTATAAGTTCCTAGTGCTTCTACAGTGCTTTGTATTCAGTAGATTCAGTAAACTAAATGAAAATATAGTGTTCTAAGTCTCTAGGATGACTGCTTATGACATGGATTCAGTTATAAGCTAAAACACACAGTACAATCTACAGTTGCATACTACAGGTTACATATATACTCACACAGAAAGTGACCTGAGTGGGTATTTGCCACATCTGATTCTCGCACTGAGTGTTGTTTTGTGAGCATAGGCAGCATGACCTGCCTCTCTCAAGAATTCATTCATCATGGGCCGGAGAGATGGCTCAGAGATTAAGAGCACTGACTGTTCTTCCAGAGGTTATTTAGAATTATTATTTAATTTTTATATCTCTTTATACTAATTTCTAATTTAATCACATTATGGGAAAGAAAATAATCCATGTGATACTGACTAGTCTTAGCTACCAATGCCAGATTACTGAGACAGGAATCTGTGGAGGTCGAGAAGAGGAGCAAAAACATTATTCAGAGCCAATGAGTTTACAGTGCTTTCAAGCAGACTTGCAAAGGGATCATGTGATCAGTTAGACTAGAACTTTGTATTGTTTTTAGAAGATGCATTCATATTTAATGTTCTTGAACAGCCTTTTCTAATTAAGGACAATTTTTCATAGTTGCAGAAGACCCTGCAAAATCACTAACAGAGCTGTCTCCAGACTTTGGACATTCATCACCTCCACCACAACCTCCTTCCATGAACTCCTTATCCAGCGAGAACAGATTGCACTCTCTACCGTTCAGCCTGACCAAGATGCCCAATACTAACGGCAGCATTGCTCACAGCCCACTGTCATTGTCAGTGCAGTGTGTGATGGGCGAGCTGAACAGCTTGCCTGTCCAGAAGAGTCCACCTTTGCCCATCTCTTCTGGTAATGCATACGGCCTAGAGGTGGGCTCACTGGCTGAAGTGAAAAAGAATCCCCCGTTCTATGGGGTTATCCGTTGGATTGGCCAGCCGCCTGGGCTCAGTGACGTGCTAGCTGGGCTGGAACTGGTAATTTGTTTTGGCTTGAAATCTACAACTTTTCTTCATGGGTTTTAAAACTACGTTTTCCTCTATTAGATAATTTCTTGGGAAGTTATTTTTTCTCAAAAAAAATTCAGTAGTAGAGGAAATATAGTATTGCTTACCTTCACCCTTTGCCATCGCTAAGGCTTCTCACCCACTTATTCCTCATGTTTGTTTGTAATCAAGGAATAGATTGATTTTTAGGCTAGAACATGTAGTCTCCACATACAAACAGAATGCAGCAAAGAAAGCAGTTCAGTGACCAGTTCTCCTTCTTATTCTTTAGCCTCCTCCCATTGCAGTCAGTTCAGGGATGTGACTGACTTTAAAATTAATCATGTTTGGAGTCTTTGGGAGAGGGGAAGGTTTTATTTTTGGCTCTAAAAAAAGTATATTGTGTGATATTTCATAACCAGGAGGGAGAATTTGAATAAATTTAGCTATTGCCTAAATATAGTTTTTAACTTTTTTTCACTTGTCTTCTTGCTGTTGAGGAACTAGGTAATTTATCTACTCCTGCCCCTTGATTTTAATACTTTTGAAATGGCTCAGGGAAACTCAGTAAACCAAGGAAGTTCTAAGCATGTATTTTGAAAGGAAATGCATCAAATACTTCCCGGAGGGCTAAAGAATTATTTTCTTAAACCACCAGCTGAGGGCCAAAGCACCAGTTAGTCAGTCCCTTTTCCTTCTTGCTGATCTGTTCAGAAAAGATTTGAAAGAGAAATTCAGAAAAAGTGAAAACTCCATAGCTCTTCCCGGTGTAACACATACCAAAACCTTTCTTTTTCAGGAGGATGAATGTGCGGGCTGTACAGATGGCACGTTCAGGGGCACGCGCTATTTCACCTGCGACGTGAAGAAGGCTCTGTTTGTGAAATTGAAGAGCTGCAGACCGGACTCTAGGTTTGAGTTTCTGGAGCCTGTTTATAATCAGATTGAAAGGTGTAATTCTTTAGGTAATTGGATACTTTTCATTTATTTACCCATCTGGAATGACTGTTTCTTGCTACATTTTAGCATCTGAGGGTGACAGTGTTTAAATGTTTTATTTACTTGCCAGTGTTCATCAAGTTTCGAAGTTGGTAAAGATTCTTAGTTGGTGCATAAGAGAGTTGTCCTAAGAGGAGATATGTTGAAAGAAGAGTTAGGAAAAGTGTTTAGGGTCTAAAGACTGAAAGGTGGTGTTTTTTCTTCTCTTTTATTGATTATAGACATTAAATTTTTGGCAGTGTGGGTGGTAGAAATGAAAATGTGGTCCCTTTAGCAATAACTTCCCCCTCCGCATCTTTTTAAGTACCTCATTTCGGATGTCCTTATGAAGAAATCTGATACAGTCTGGGGATGCAGTTGGCTTGACAGATGGAGGACAATTCTTCTCATTGTCACTAGCTTGCTGATGCTGGCCTTTCCCTTAACAATACTGAGAGTCAAGCAGGGGGAAATAGGGAAAACATCTTTATGAAAAACATTTTTCTTAATGTTGAAGAGTATTTTGGAAACTTGTTTTCTTTTTATACTTGAAAATGAAACATTTTGGACAAGTAACAAAATATTCTTTGACAGATGCTTAATTGACTTAATTTTCTAAACTCTATATGACAGGAATGATGTTGAAAGTGAATAATTGAATTTTTATAAGTCCAGATAAATATCAGTAAACTAAAGTAAAAAAATGCAGAAGATGCCAAAATATACTTTAAATGATATATATATATATACATGCATATGAATATATACTGTCATGATTTAAAAGATTATTTTTATTTTTTATCTTTTCAGTATTTGGAGGCTACTTAAGTGAAGTAGTAGAAGAAAATACTCCACCAAAGACGGAAAAAGAAGGTTTAGAGATAATGATTGGAAAGAAGAAAGGCATCCAGGGCTATTACAATTCTTGTTACTTGGACTCAACTTTATTCAGGTAAGTTCCTATTTTCTGCAGTAAGTGTAAATAGTGCTGTGTGGGGGAGAGGGGAGACAGGTATGTGTGTGTGTGTATATGGAAGAAGGTGCCAGTTGCCTTTGAGTAGAGAAACTGACAGAGTTAGGAAAGATCATGAGATTTGGTCCTTAGTGACTAAAGAATTTCATATCCTATTCCTAGATCCAAAGCACTAATATAAAAATACTGCAGTGAATAATGAGTGAACAGATACTCTGAGGACATCTGCCTCCAGTGTAGATGATGGCACGTGTGCCAAGTAACCTGCAGCAAGCTATTGGCATTGCGTGCTGCGTGGGTTCTGGAATCTCGAGATGATCATAAAAATTCTTAATATTAAAAATTACTTTCCATGGGATCACTGTTGCCCTCCTTTGTGTAGTTTTCCCTAAAGTGGATCAAGTTGAACAGCAAGGATCATTAGGCTATGAAGATTGCATCTATAGCCGTAAGGGTTGTGCACTGCCAGTGAAGTGGATCTGCCACTCGGTAGGCTGTGCCACAAGAGTTAGGAAGTTAGTGTGGAAGTTAGAATTTTAAAGGAGAGAGCACAATAAAGGTGGGTCTTGTCGTTGCTGGAATACTTTTGATTAAACAAACAAGCAAGCATTACTATAATATTCCTTAGATTTGCTGATAAAAATTTATTTTAACTAAATTTATTTTCTTTGATACCAGCAAATTTTTATTGCTAATCACTCACAAGTTATTATAAGGAAATGCCTATCTGATGATAATGAAATGAAGTTGTCCTGACTAGTCTGATCTGGTCTTGACCAGTCTCTGACTTTCTCCCTATGTTGTCTGTGTGTGTGTGACCGATTTCTAGGCCTCTCTTGGTTTATGTAAACAAGCTTCTTTCATAATGTTCTCTGGCGTGTTTTCAACCTTCACGTGTATGGTGCAGTCTTGGTGTTTCTGGTCCGGATCTGCAGGGTCTCCGGGTACTGAGCACAGGGCCTGTGTGGTCTGTCCATGAGTTCTTAGGCCAGTGGTTCCCTACACTTTATCCCTTTGCCTCTTCCTACTCCTTTAAGAATCTTTCTCAAATTTTATTCTTTTTATAACATGAGGAAAATATTCTTTTATTTTGCAGCTTATTTGCTTTTAGTTCTGTCCTGGATACTGTGTTGCTCAGACCCAAGGAAAAGAATGATGTGGAGTATTATAGTGAGACCCAGGAGCTACTGAGGACAGCAATAGTCAATCCTCTGAGAATGTAAGTAGAAGACATGTGTTTTGTCTTTAGTTGGTGTTCTGTTTACTGTTTTCTTGTATAGTAATTAATTTATGCTCTGTACTCATGTAGTAAAAAAAAAAGAAGTTAGTTCTCATGAAATACTGACTTTTTAAAACCTTTGTTTTTTGTCCTCTGTTTATGTGTGTTTTAGTCTGGGCAGTGCATTCATGCACTACAAATTTATCCCTTTGCCTCTTTGTCTAGTACATGACATTGCACTAGAAACAAGTGAGGTATATTAAAGTGACATGGTGTTTTGTTTATTTAAAAGAATTTCTTTAGGTCTTCTTTTACTCCTTTACTAAGGTAGTTGTAAATGTGCAGAAGACCATGTAAGAAGACTTTGATACATGATGCTGATGTGTGATGACTTCACAAGGCGTTTATGTGATGAAGAGTTAGATTATCCAGTGATCAGGAAACAGATAGCTCAGGGACATAGAGAACAAACTATGCAATTTAAAGTCCAACTGTGATCAATTTAAACTTTGTGGTACACTTTTCTTAACAGTGAAAATAAAAATTAACGTAATATATTTAAAAATAACAAAATATGAAACTATAAGGAGTATTCCAAACGACGTACTGTGTCACATAGCTAAGAAAGTAAATTAAAAGTGAAACAAATTTCTCTAGATACTTGTTTGCCTTACTTTTCTAATCATCTTATCCTTTAATTATGTGCTTTGATTTTAATATTAATTATTTTGTCTTACACAAATTTTAAACTCTCAGATTTTTCTTTCCCTATGTAAATGACACTAGAACAGCACAGGTCAAATCTTAACTACAAGGCATATTATCACAACCTTCCTTCTTTTTAAAATACTGTCAATCCATCAGTAAACGTTTTTTGCATACGATTGCCCAACTAGTCCAGAATCATAGTTATTCTAATTTTGTCACCAGTCTATAGAAAACACTTGTTGCATGGCCTATGAGACCAAGGTGCGTCTTGTCAGGCATGGTGGGATATACCTGTAATCCCAGCACTTGATAGCTCAAGAGGCTAAGGCAAGATCAGTAGTTCAGAAATTTGAGATATATTTCTTGTGTCTGCAAATGTCATATCTGTTGTTTGGACAGAGGTTTCGCATTATGTAATGGAAGCACCCACAGGTAGAGATCCTGTTTTGTTTATTTGGTTTTTTGTTGTTGTTAGGTTTCTTTAATCTCCTTTTGTATTTTTGGTGCCCTACATATAGCATTACACAAGTGGTAGGTGTTTAGTGTTTGCTGACTGCAAAGAGCTACCAATTAGGTGGATGGTCGCTCTAAAAAGCGGGTACACAGTATGATTAGCTGTCTCTGACTTGTTCTTGTAAGCCCATGGTCTCCTATAGTCAAACAAAGAGAATGTCATAATTATGTTGACTGTTTGATTTCAGACTTTAGATTTTTAGTATCTCATCAGTTCCCTTTTCCATGTCTCTTATCCTGTGTATAAGAAGGGCTCTCTCAAATTTGGATATCCTATTTTATAAAATAAGTATTTTAATATAATAAGCAAATGCCATTTAAAAATTGCTTCACCCAGGCTTCATAAAAAGTTCAGAATTGTATTAGTACATGGTAGTTATTTTTAAGGTGTTTAATAGTATCTGGAAACAATTCTGATTCTCAGACTTTCACTTTTCAAACTTCTGTAAGAAGCCTACAGTTGTTTCTTAAAAATAAATGCCTTGTCTCTTGTTTTTTTTAACATGTTACAATTGTATGAAAAGTACTTGATTATTAAGATGTGCCATATGACTCACTGTGCCAGTGTCAGTTAATTCACTTTTATCAACAGATATGGATATGTGTGTGCCACAAAAACTATGAAACTGAGGAAAATACTTGAAAAAGTTCCTGCTGCATCAGGATTTACATCTGAAGAAAAAGGTGACCCTTTTAATTTATAATATATGCATTGAAAATAACTTGAAAGTTTATCATCTAGTAATATGCTAAATTATTTCCTGAAATATACCAATTTAGTTTAGAGGATTAAATTTAAGTTAGATTCATTTGAGAGGGCTAGGAGTATACTCAGTGGTGGAGTATGTAAGAGGCCTTGGGTTTGATTCCCAGCACTGCAAAAATATGAAAAGTTTCTTTTCTATGTGACATGCATATTTCTCCTGATTTTGTGATTCTTCTGAAGTGATGTGATGTGGAAGAAGTCTTTAAGAGGCCAGCCGGCTGGCTCTACAGAAGATGACCAAGTAAAGAGCTGTCCTTGTCCCCAGCAGGGCTGTTCGGAGCTGCTTCTCTTCCTGTGATAGGGAGAGTCCCCAGCACTCAGTTTCTCACTGTGCTCCCTGTTGAAAGGGGCTGTGGAGCAGTTGGCCGGCACTTCTGTCTGCTCACAACTGAAGAATTTGCTCAGATTCAACTCCTGAATTAGTTTGTTAACAGTATACTATAACCAGCTGTGGCATTTATACACATGGCTATTACTAAAATAGAAGAAAAAATAGGGCATATACCAGGGATATTCTACTGAACCTCCCAAAAGACATAAAAATGATTTCACTGTGTGTGAATGAGTATATTCTGTTAAATAGGGCATCATGACAACAAATGGAAAAGTAATGTTTTATTATAAGTTTTCCCTTGTCAGGAGAACCTGAAATAACTAAACTTTTAATTAATATGTCTCTCTTAAAGAATAGAATGGTTTTTAAATTTTCTCTGTGATTCACTTGGGTTTTTTTGTTTTGTTTTGTTTTGCTTTGTTTTCTCCTAGATCCTGAAGAATTTCTAAATATCCTGTTTCATGATATTTTAAGGGTTGAGCCATTGTTAAAAATAAGGTAGGTCTCAAGCTGTCTAGAAGCATTTCAGAAGCAGACCTTCTTTTACACTGCCATTGCCCAGTAGCTAAATGTTGCTAGCATAGATGTGGGTTTCACTAGCTGCTGTCCTCTCTCTGAGCTACACTTAACTTCCAGGGCACAAGTGAACTGTCCTTTTAATTAGCCCTAGTGACAGATGTGCCCACAATTTAATTACTTATGAAATTGCATGTTAATATTTTTGAAAGTTCAGTTAGTGAACTTTTAAAAGGAATCTTATTCTAACTGAATTTAAAAAAAGAAAAAAAAACAGTGAGAGCATTGTTTTTGGCTTCCCATAACTTACAGTTAGCCTTAAGTTAGTTCTTTCGTTCTCAGTTTAGATCTTCCTTCTCCCCATGTTGAAAGAATACCTGAGTTTACTGTGATACAGTTCTTAGTGAGATGTTTGAAATGTCTGTGCTTCCCAGGTCATTTGAATGGTGGGCCCCTCTTGATTTCAGTCTTGGTTTCTCTGGTGGAAATTTTAGGAGTGTGCTGCCTACTTTCTTAAGAACCCACACTGATGAGTTCTCTTTCCTCTTGTGTCTAAGCAATGCAGTTTGAACCAGGGTTAAACTGATTGTGGGAGCAAGGAAAGTATCACAGTTAAAGTTTGGTTCTCTTCAGAAATCTCTAACTAGTGAACTGGCATGATGCATAATCATGGGGTGTACATACTTATTAGCAAGTCCAAGTTGGGAATCGCTTTCTATGTACCTAGAAAATCCAGAGAATTATCTACAAAGATTTAAGAAAAGAATTTATTATAGTCTAGCCATGTAAAAATTAATCATGGAAAATCAACATTTTTTTATTCCTTCAAGCATATAGAAAAAGGAATATTTTATGTTTTAGGAAAGAAAAATAAGCAATCATTGTTTTCAAAGATAGAGTTAAAAAAAGATTTACACTGAGCTACAAGGCAGATTTGATTAATCAGTGAGAAAGAGTAAATAATTAAATATGTGAATTTTTTGGTTTGTTTTATTCTTTTAATGATTTTTACATTCCAACTACAGTTTCCCCTCCTTCCTCTCTTCCTAGTCCTTCCCTCCCACCTTCTCCCTCTCCCCCCATCCTCTCCTCCTTCATTTCTATTCAGAAGAGGGCAGGCCTCCCATGGATATAAAGCAAACATGGATATAAAGCAAACATGAGGCTCAGAGTGTGAGGTACAGTCCATCTTGGTGCAGTTGTAGTGGGACTGTACCTCAGCCGGTGTCCCTGCTTCTGCAAGGGAAGCAGATGGAGATGAATGCAGGTGCTCAGCTCACTTTCTCCTTCTCATTCTGGGGCCCAAACTTGTGAAATTGTGCTGCCCACATTTAGGGTGGATCTTCTCACCTCAACCCAATCAGAAAACTTTTTTACAGTTATGTTTAGAGGTTTATCTCATAGATGATTCCAGATCCTGTCAAGCTAACAATATTAACATCACAAGACCACTTATTGTCAACTTGATACCCAAATATATCATTTAAAAATACATTTAATTTTATTTTTAATTGTGTGTATGAATTCAGTGCCAACAGAGGCCAGAAGAGGATGTCAGATTTCCTTAAGCTGGAGTTACAGGCAGTTGCAAACTACCTGTTTTGGGTTCTGGGGACTGAGCTTTGGTCCTCTGTAAGGGCAGTGTGCTGTCTTAACCTCTTGATAGCTGAGACATTTCCTACCACTTTTGGTTATGAGCCTTAGTTTTTATTTTTTTAATGGCTGAACTCTCTCTCTCTCTCTCTCTCTCTCTCTCTCTCTCTCTCTCTCTTAGGCCCCAAGTTTTTTGAGACAGGATTTCTTTGTGTAACAGTCTTGGCTACTAGCTGTCCTGGAATTCACTTTGTAGACGAGACTGACTTCAAACTCACAGAGATCCGCTTGCCTCTGTCTCCTGAGTGCTCAAATTAAGTGCATGCTTCACCACACCCGACTTAAACATATGATTTTAAAGCTATTACTTTCTACTCTTTGTCCCGATAGGTTCTTGGTCATCTTTAATGCAGAATACATTCATTCTAACTTCAGAAGTTTCCATAATTTTTAATGTTCCAACACTGTTCAAAAATAGTCTTTTTAACCATGAGTTCCTGAAAAACCAATAAACAAGTTTTGTACTTCCAGCTTACAGTGGCACAGGGTTGGTTCTCATCCCAAAAGGAAGGAGTTGGGGGCAGAGCAAGCAAAGAAAGGCCAGAGCAAAGCAAGAGTCACAGAGCATCAAGGCAGGGCGACCCCGGCTCCTTGTGGCTGGGCAGTGACGTCACAAGCTTCACACACTCATCATGGAGCTGCAGGATTTTGGAATGAGTATAGGACCTCAGGACTCACCTATTATGGTCCAAACCACACCAATCCGTGAATGTTTTTATATTCATGTTTGTAAAATGTCAATATCCACTTTTAAAAATTTACCAAATTTGTATTCTTGTGCCCTTGGATTGTCCCTGGTGGAAAATACAACCCAACTAGCATGGCTTGGTACAGTTTCACAACTTGGTTATGATTCTGTAGGTTTCCAAACTTCTAAAACACTAGCCGTGGGGTTATTTCATTATTTTTATCATTGCCTAAAATTTTCATAATCCCCATATTGTATATTGAGTATGTTTCCCCTGTACCTCCATCCCTCTGTCCCTTTCCATGTCTCCCTCCTCATAGTTCCTTTGTTCCTTAGGCAGCATCACGTCTACTTTCATGTCATATACAAATTAATGCTTTTTGTCTCTCTGTAGACGATCGAGGAACCATAAATGAGAGAAAACATACATTGTTTCTCTTTATGGGACTGATTTAATTTGTTTAGTATGTTTATTTCCAGTTAATCCATTTTTTATGACTGAAGACTTTATTCTTTACGGTTAAAAGGACTCCCCTGTGCATATGATTTGAGGAGTGATTTTTGTTGTTTTGTTTTTCGTTTTAGGTTTGGTTTGCTTTTTTGAGACAGGTTTCTCTATATAGTCCTGACTGTCCTGAAACTTGCTTTGTAGACCAGGCTGGCCTCGAACTTACAGAGATCCACCTGCCTCTTTCTCCTGAGTGCTGGGATTAAAAGTGTGCACCACCATGCCTGGCCCTGGAAGTAAGGTTTGAGTGGCTGTTGTTCCTCCCAGTTTTCTGCTACAGTGTTAGGACACTATGTATCTCTTCCTCCATTAACTAGCTGCCATGCCTCCTCCTGGCCATCCTTGATTTTTCTGGGTGTGATTTTTTTTTACCTCCATTATTTTTGTTTTCTCTTCTATGCTATTTTTAACTATGAATTTTTTCTATGATTTTTTTCTATGACTTTTTCTATGATTTTTTGTAGTCATCAACAACCAATTAAAATGTTAATCCAGAATAACTGCTAGTTTCTTGAATTATAATCTGTTCTTATTAGCTTTGAGTTCTCAAGAGTGCTGTAGCTAGTTACCAGATTTTATGTTTTGTAAATTCAGGACATAATTTGCTTGGGGCAGCTGAAGATCACAATAGGCTGCTCCCTGAATCACAGAAGTTTTGTGATTAAAAACTGCTGACAGTTTTTTTTTTCTAAAACTCTTGAAATCTAGACATACATTTAAATAATCTGATTCTAAACCCAGACACTTGGCTAAAAAAGATAAGCGGTAAGCTGAAAGATGAAAAACAATTTTCTCAGTAGAGTTAGTTTTAATGGTTACTAGTAAGCTGGTAAGGGAAGGGAGATGTTGGACCCTCATGTTTCACTGTGACCATTTACCTGGTGTTTGTCAAGTTGGTGGGTGAGCATCTAAAGAGCTGCTGGTAGCTGAAAGCCTAGAGGATAGTTGTTAGGGTTCCTGGGAGTCACACCTTGCCCTGCTTTGACTTGCTAGGAAAGTATCCCTCCCTCTCCCTCTCTCCCTCCCTCTCTCCCTCCCTCCCTCCCTCCCTCTCTCCCTCTCTCCCTCCCTCTCCTCTCTCCCTCCTCCCTCCCAGGGCTTTTATTTTAGGAAGTAAAGAAGTTTGATTTAGAAGGTCTAAGAGTCTGTCACTGAGGCATTGTAGCATTTGTTCTAGTCAGTAAAAGCAGTGCTCACAACTGTCTGTAACTTCAGTTCCTGGTGACCTGACATCCGTGGTAAAACACCAGTGTACATAAAATAAAAATTAATTTTTTTAAAGTAGCTGCTACTTTCTAGATTTGGAGGGAGAAGAACTGATTATTGTTCATATAGTGTTTCTTGTCCTGAATATTATTCTACATTTTTCTTGTGATGGCAAGAGAACTTTCGAATAATTTATAAAGAAGGCAGAAGAACTAATTTATGAGGTCTTCTGCATAAGCACATTTAACTATCTCATCCGAATCATTGTCTTTCACCTGGTGTGTGGACAATCCAAAGCTGGACACGAGCATTATGATGCTGTGTCCTCAGGTCTGTCAGACGCTTCATACTCGATTCAGGCATTTGGTAAGTGGCTTATATGCAATTCTTCCTGTGTGCTCCCAGATCAGCAGGTCAGAAAGTCCAAGACTGCGACTTCTATCAGATCTTTGTGGAAAAAAATGAAAAAGTTGGAGTTCCTACAATTCAACAGTTACTAGAATGGTCTTTTATCAACACCAACCTGAAATTTGCAGAGGTTAGTGATTCTAACTGGACTTGTACTGCTACTTTATTTTGTTTCTTATCAATGCTAGATATTAAACTCAGGCCTTTTGTACACACTACCCCAAGTGCTGCCCCACTGAACCACACCTAGCTGTCACTGTGCTTTAACCAAGAATAGTTTGAAGAAAGAGTTAAGAAGACACTTTTTTTTAAAAACAAAAAGGTATTCTAACTTTGTTCTTTTTAAAGATAGCCGCTTAGCTTAAGATGGAATGTTTTGGATTTAGGTTGCAAAGGGAACAAAAGCTAATTTTTAAGTTAAAGTAGCTTAATGCAAAGATATGTGTGCATACATGTTTATGTTTTCAGTTGTCATTTTTCCCATGCATAGTATCTAAACATGTCAAAGGTAATGTTATTTTTTCTCCCTCTGCTAAGAGATAAAATACCAATAAATTCTTGTGTATGGGTTTGCTAATGAATGCAATAGAAACGTCTCTTTGACTGTCAGAATGTGTGATCTCTGCAGTGCATGCCGTGGTCTGTTTTATCATGTTCGTCTCCGGGGAAGTCTGGAAAATCTGTAGCTTATTGCTGCTCTGCATCCACACTGCACATTCACAAGTGGGCTCTGCTTCATGGGCCAACAGCCCTGCTGAAACCACTACTGGGTTTCATAGGGAAACTCGTTAGTACAGGGGTTAGGACTCAAGGCTTTGGACATGCTAAGTAAGCGCTATATTGAGCTAAGTCCCCAGCTCCTTAGGACTTTGGTTTCTAAAACTATGTGTCTTTTTTTTTAGGCACCATCATGCTTGATTATTCAGATGCCTCGGTTTGGAAAAGACTTCAAAATGTTCGAAAAAATTTTCCCTTCTCTAGAATTAAATATAACGGATTTGCTTGAAGACAGTAAGTATATAGTCCGTTCTTTGATTTTTGTTTTGTTTTGTTTTGTTTTAGAAATAGTTGGCCTGGACTTTTCATTAGTTATGAGTATAGTACTTCTGACAGGTAATTCAGTAGTTGAAGAGCTTAGACATACTAACTTAATAATTTGACTGCTACAATTTATTCTAAAAAAAAAAAGAGGTAAAAATAAATAATTTAAATGCAAATTTACTTACTATCTGACAAGAAATTAGAGACAAGAAATGTTAATAAGGGGGAAGTGGTTAATTGGATTATATGTCTAAACAATAGACCTACGTGAAAACAGTGTGTGGTAGTTATAGTGGAAGGGAAAGCATCGAGAGGCTAGATGAGAGAAGCTTGAGACACACGTGTACCTGGGTGCACATACTTATATAAATATTCAGACGTAAAATTGTTACAGAAAGTTCATAATGGCAGTGATTGTTACTTACTGACATAAGATCATATGTGCTATTAGTCTTCAATACTTACTTTATATCTTTGAACATTTCATGACCAGAAGAACAATTCTAGAATAGGTTAACAAAAATGGTTATATGAAAAAAAAGTCCTTAAAAATACTTCAGATACAAAAAAAAATCCAAATGAAATTTTAAGAGGGTCAGAGAGGACTAGGCCTTTCTTCTCCCCAACCCCCAAGCATTCTTGTTTTCAAAGTATAGCTTTTATTTTTAAGGACAGAATGTCGTTTTTAAAAAGGCTTCTTCCTTCCCTCTTTGCTTAGCTCCCAGGGAGTGTCGCATCTGTGGAGGACTTGCGATGTTTGAGTGTAGAGATTGCTATGAAGACCCCGACATCACAGCAGGGAAGATCAAGCAGTTCTGTAAGACCTGCTGCACTCAGGTAATCCACACTCACTGCACCAGTCAGAGTCAAAGGGCATTTTAAACATTCACAGTAAATGTTATTGCTCATGTCTCTTCTGCCGGTGTGTGTGTGTGTGTGTGTGTGTGTGTGTGTGTGTGTGTGTGTAGAACTTGGCTGGGCTGGTCAATGAAAGTGATTAGAGTCTGCCCTTGAAACATGGCATTTAGCTCACTTGTGGTATTTTCTTCATGGTCCATTTTAGGTTCACCTCCATCCGAAGAGAATGAATCATACCTATCACCCAGTATCACTTCCCAAAAACTTGCCTGACTGGGACTGGAGACACGGCTGCATCCCCTGCCAGAAGATGGAGTTATTTGCTGTTCTCTGCATAGAAACGAGCCACTATGTTGCTTTTGTGAAGTATGGGAAGGATGATTCAGCCTGGCTCTTCTTTGACAGCATGGCTGATCGAGATGGTATTTAAAACTCATCTTTTGGAGGGAGATGCTTCCTAGTGAGAGCACATGTTTGTGGTAATAGGGTATTTTGTGAGCAGATTCTTGAAAGGATACCACAGTGGGACGGACTTCAATCTTCAAAGGGTATTACTAATTCTGCTCCTCAAACTAAGGAGCAATAATGTTGTGCCATCTTGGTCCTTACGTGGATTTGTTAAAGAATCCTAGCCATAATCCCAGACTTGGGAAGTAGAGGATTGTGAATCAGAGGTCAGTTTGTATTGCATAGTGAGAACCTGTTTCAATTTGTCCAACCTCAAAAGAAAACAAAGATCCTAAAATTTATTTAGAGCTGATTTTACCATCTTCTTCCTTGCATTTTTATATACAGTAGAGTAGCCATTTATTGAGGACATAAATGCCAAACTCTGTGGGAATACTTAGGTCATGGAAATCATGCCTGTTTTTCTATTGTCTAAGCTAACGTTAAAGGTGGTGAAGGTTGCATGGTTTGAATTTACCTCAGTCTTCCTGATCTCATGCGTTTTATTTCAGGAAGAAACCTTTTCTCATTGAGATGTTTTTAGGAAGCTTAGTCATTACTTAGTACACACTTGAGTGACAGGGGTCTTGGTAGTAAGGTACTTGTCACAGTACCTGTCCATACCCCATTTACTCTACAGCTCTTCTTCCAAGCCCTAGTTCCCCAGGTCTTCAGGTGTGACACTTTAATAACCAGAGGCACCGAGTGACGGCTTCTTGACCAGAGGCCCAAGCTGTAGACCAACAGTTCTTCATTTCTGCATAGCTCTGATGCCTGATGGCACAGCCCACCCCTGTGTGTGCTTCACTCAGCATTAGCAGCATAACTTTTGGGAACGCATCTGGGAGAGCAAATCTGATCATCAGAGCACGTGCGCGTTCTGATGATTAGTATCTAAAACAGCCGTGCTAGAGGTATGCAAGTATGTTCTTAAAACATAGGGAAACAGTAGCGCTCACAATTGGCTTCTTGTGGAAAAGTGTCAGACTGTTAGTGTCTGGGAAGGACAGAAAAGTCTGAGGGGCCTAGAGCAGCAGCCTGCAAATCGGGACTGCAGCTTTTCCTAAGTGCATGTCCTTTTACCAGGTTTTTTTTTTTTTTTTCACTTTTCTCTGCTTGAGCCCTCTCAGAAGCCAATAAAAGGAGACCGTAATTCTAGAAACTGAAAGTCAAACAAAGTTTTGTTGTTTGTTTGTTTTGTTTTGTTTTTGATTCTGGGAGTCAGTCTTCACTAAATTCTAGGATAGTAAAATTGTTCTGGTGGGACAGGCTGCCAAGAGGACTTAGAAGTTTGCTGCCCTAATGAGAGCTCTCTCTCTCTCCCTAGGGGATCAGAATGGCTTCAACATTCCACAAGTGACACCCTGCCCTGAAGTGGGAGAGTACTTGAAGATGTCTCTGGAGGAGCTGCACTCCTTGGATTCCAGAAGGATTCGAGGCTGTGCACGCAGACTTCTTTGTGATGCGTACATGTGCATGTACCAGAGTCCAACCATGAGCTTGTACAAATAACATGTCATCTGAAAGGGGCAGAGGCCAAGCACAAAGCTTAACACCATGTGTCTTCCAGCTGGCACCCATTATGGGCAATGGGTGTCTTTTGTGTTGATGGCCCTTTAGCAAAGGATTCCTGTGTTTTTAAACAAATTATTTTTGTGTTCTTGAAGTATTTAATAAGCATTTTGCACTCTAGGAAGTATGTTTTGTTGGTTTTTTAAAAGTTTTAATGAAGTTTAGTTTAAATTAAGTTAAGTTTTGTTTTTTTAAGTTTATTGAGTTTATTGCATTGATAATATAATATTTTTGGAAAGATACAATTTTAATTGTTACGTCTAAAATCTTTTAGTCCATTGAGGATGTAAGTAAATATTTCTTCTTATGGACCAAGGATATTAAATCGTTTTTCTTTTTTGAGTGCCTTGAGGAAGAAATAATATGGTTTTACTGAGTCTGCTGGTGGGTGGCCTTAAATGGCATTACTTTATCCTCAAGAGTACCGCAGGGTCCTGGCCACTCTCCTGGGAGTGCTGACAGTTTAGTATCATCCGATTTGAGTTCTCATTTTCTTCCCAACGGATTTGAGGGAGAAGGGCTTTGATGTAGGGATTGTCCTTCCAGGCACCGTAGGCCTCTGCACAGTTCTCTTGTGCTTTTAAATACTGCTTATGTTCACTAATTATTCATTCTAAAGGGATTATGCAGGAGATGCAACTGTCTTTGGTTTTATATTATGAAATAGCCTTGTATTGTGGGATGTTAACTCTGGAGAGTCGCCCTCATACTCAAAGTATTCATTAAAAACAATCCCCTGATACTCCCTAGGGGGTGTGTGGCTATTATCAGGCTGACCCAAAGGAACACATTTTGTATTCCATTTCCTTTACTGGTATCTTGTTAAAAATTTTTTGCCTGAAGAATATTGTTTTGTTTGTGAAAACATGAATAACATTGTATAAAACAGTCCCTTTCTGTCCGAATGCTCCAATGTAGCCTTAATTTTGTTAGAGACGATTGAAGTGCTGTTATGGAAATAAATGTACCATTACTATTTCTGTATCAGTAAAACGCAGTTTTATGGTTCTTTCTCTTTGAAAAAAAAATTTCTGCCTTCCCCCAGCCTCCCATTTCCCTCCCCCTCCTCTCCCCCTCCCCCCACTCCTCCTCCCCCACTCCTCTCCCCCTCCTCCCACTCCTCTCCCCCTCCTCCCACTCCTCTCCCCCTCCCTCTCCAGTACAAAGAGCAGTCAGGGTTCCCTGCCCTGTGGAAAGTCCAAAGTCCTCCCCCCTCCATCCAGGTCTAGGAAGGTGAGCATCCAAACTGGCTAGGCTCCCACAAAGCCAGAACATGAAGTAGGATCAAAACCCAGTGCCATTGTTTTTGGCTTCTCAGCAGCCCTCATTGTCCGCCATATTCAGAGAGTCAGGTTTTATCCCATGCTTTTTCAGTCCCAGTCCAGCTAGACTTGGTGAGCTCCCAAAACGGGGTGAAAACTATTATGTCAGAAGGAGAAGGGGGAAATGTGGGTACAACAGACACTGGTCGTGTGCATCGTTTTCAGAAGGACGTAACTGTACAAAGCAGAATCTAGGAGGAGGATGAAGTAAAAATACAGTTATAATAGGATGTACACATTGCTTACACTTAGAAAACCCAACAGATAAAATGTATAGATAGAAATAGAGAAGAAATACACAAGAAATTTACAAATTTGATCTAAAACATACATGGAATAGTCCATCTTATACTGCCCCCCTTTCCTTCCCTGAGACAGGTCTATGTAGCCCAGGCTAGCCTTGAACTTGAAGAAACTGCCTGCTTTTTAGTCTTCCTGGTGCTGTGATTACATTTGCCCCAAGTTCTAGATTTCTTTTGCTTTTTAGTAGAACACATACAAAAAATTAATCCAGTCTGTGTTTTCAAAGGACATTCTAGGACAATTTATAAAAGTGGAAATTTTCTAGGACATATTTCCTGATCATAGCTTATGATAGAAGAAGGGGGATGGGAGAAACAAACAGTAAAAAGAGACTCCATTCAAAGCCATTTAATTACTTGGAAATTACAAGGAATGATACAAAGCAGTCTTTTACTAAAATGTAAATGAACCTAAAATTACCAACCTCACAGAAAGCAATAATGGAGGAAACTCCATACAAAACATACGCGATGCTTTATCCTTATTGGAAATTCATAGCCTTAAATTATCCCTATTGGGAACTCAGAGCCTTAAATGTTTTATTTTTTAAAAGAATATAGAGAAAAATAAAATTCAATTTAAAGAGTTATAACACCACCAAAATTAAACAAGCAAAATATTGGAAGAGAAAATAAAGATCTAAATTAACAAATAGGAGGTGAGGAGGAAAGCAGGAAGGGCAGGTCGGCTGACATGTAAGAATGCCCGCACACAGGTGAAGACCCAACAAGTTTCTGAAGGCTCAAAAACCGCACAAAGAAAGAACCAGAGTCTGATAATGTGATGGAGAAGGCGCAGGGCCACAGGGCAGGCAAGAGAAACATAGAGTGGGCTGTGGTTGTCCCTTGTCCACGCTTCCCTGTCCCAGAAGAGGGCTCTCTCTTGTTGGCTTTGTTCAAAAATGCGGAAATAATAAATAATATTTTCAACACAGATTATACAAAATTACTTGGTCTAGACACTTTAAAAACAATCAAGAATGAGACTTAACTGCCCAGATGAAGGCATGTGACATCTACAGGCAATTCAGTGACTCCTCATGGACTGGGACTTTGCTCTGAAGTATATTGATGGGTGTTATGGAATATTAGGTGAAGATGTGTTACATTTGTTTGTGCTGTGGAGCATTTGTTTAATGATGCAAAGATATGTTGCATTCTCTTACACTGTGTTTGTTTCACTCTGTGAAGCTGTGTTACTGTGCCTGCCTGAAACACCTGATTGTCTAATAAAGAACTGAACGGGCCAATAGCAAGGAAAGAGAAAGGATACGTGGGGCTGGAAGGCAGACAGAGAGTAAATAGGAAGAGAAATGGGAAGAGAAGATCAAGGAACAAGAGTAGGAGAGAAGACATTGGGGGCCAGTCACCTAGCTACACAGCAAGCCACAGAGTAAGAGGTAAAGAAAGGCATATAGAATAGAGAAAGATAAAAGTCCAGGAGCAAAAGGTAGATGGGATAATTCAAGTTAAGAAAAGTTGACTAGAAATAAGCTAAGCTAAGACCAGGCATGTGTAAGAAAGAATAAGCTTCTGAGCATTTATTTGGGGGCTGGGTCGTGGGCCCCGAAAGAACAAAGAGAAAGAAACAGCTACAGAGGGAAATTATTATTAGCAAAATCTACTTGTGTCAATAAGGGAATACTAATATTCCAAATTTTAAAAATTTACCTGAATGCTGGTGTGCCGGCATGAGTTTATCTGTTCCACTTGTGTTTAGGTGTTATTGGAGGTCAGAAGAGGGCATAGGGTCCCCCAGAACTGGAGTTACAAGCAGCTGAGAGTGACATGTGGGTGCTGGGAACCAAACCCAGGTCCTTCGTGGTAACAGTAAACTCACTTAACCACTGAGCCATCTGTCCATCCCTCATATCCCAATTTATGTTGTTTGGTTTCTCTAGACAGGGTTTCTCTGTGTAACAGCCCTGGCTGTCCTGGAACTAGCTCTGTAGACCAGGCTGGCCTCAAACTTACAGAGATCTGCCTGCTTCTGCCTCCCAAGTGCTGAGATTAGAGGTATGTGCCACCCCCTGCCCGGCCTTGAGCTTTTCTTTTCCCCTCATCTCCCAATTTTGATGGGAATTCTATGGCTATATAAATGAATGTGCATCAGTGACAGATCATGTTAGCAAATTACTTTCAATTAGTTTAGAAAGATCAAAATTCTTCATATTGTAACTTCAACTTTTCTGTAAGTTTGACAGTTTCAATTCTTTTTAATTAAGAAATTACAGAGAAGTGAAAAGACTTCCTGCCAATTTACTTTAGCAATGCTAGTATCAGATAAATAGTTAATGTTTTAATGCATAGACTATTTTGTTACTAAGAATAAAAAGCTAACAAATTCAAACAAGGAACTGCAATGACAAATAGGCCAAAAAAGGTACTTTAGCAGTAGTCAAGATAATGCAATTTAATGCAACATTAAATTAAAATGTTAATCAAATATCATAAAGGACCTACCAGAATTATGAATTTTTCAAAGCCAGTATGGGTTATTTGGGGCATGTTGGCCGAGTGTTCTCGCACTTTGATGGAATATGGCTAAGCCCTCTGATTTTCTGGTGTGAACTTGGCAAATCCATAAAAAAATAACCATTCATCTTGACCCAGACATTCTACTCTGTAGGATCTATTTATTAGAGAAGGAAATAGAAACAAGAATATTTATTCCATCTTTGTTTTTAGTAGCATAAAACCAACATTTAGAATGACAGCTAACTATTACGATAATGAATGAACTCTAACTATGCCATAGATAAGAATGTAACTATTACTGGAAGTCTATACCAGCTGACTAACAAGAATTCCATATATTTGTATGTGGGTCTATATGTACAGGTTTGTGCATGTGTTCCCCTCAAAAGGGGAAGAAAAATATGCAGAGAAATAGATACAATAGAATCCTCTTGCTTAAAAATAGTATATATGTGTGTATATATATTTATATATGCTTACATAAATGCATAGAAAAATTTAAAAGGAATCCACATAGGCTGTTCCATCGATTAGGGTGAAAAGTTTATACAAAGACAGAAGAAGAGAATTCATTTGGATGGTATTGTACCATCTTGACTAATTTCTATCACTCTATGCGACAACTTGTACCTGGATCGCGGAAACTCTGCCCATTTGGTTAAACTAATTAAGGAAGAACACTACTGTGAAAACAGTGGGAAGTATCATCTGTAGATCAACTGCCAAGCTCCAACGTAGAAGATGAAATCTGAGAAAACCAGCAGTTGGAAGCAGGACAAGTAACTAACAAGCTCAGAGAAAAACATGTGAGGATGGAGATCAAATGCACGGGTGAAGACCAGCGTGCCAAAATCAAGAGAGATGGCTGTCTTAGCTAGGGTTTCTAGTATTGTGAAGAACACCATGGCCACATCTCTTACAGAGGAAAACATTTAATTGGGCAGCTTCCAGTTTTAGAGGTTCAGTCCATTATCATCATGGTGGGACAAGGGCATGCAGGCAGACATGGTGCTGGAGAAGGAAGTGCTGGAGAAGGAGCTGAGAGTTCATACATCTTGACAAGCAGGCAGAAGAAAATGGTCTGAGCGTCACACTGAGTGAAGCGTGAGCAAAGGAGACCTCAAAGCCCACTCCCACACTGACAGACTTCCTCTAACGAGGCCATGCCTACTCCAACAAAACCACATTTCCTAACAGTGCCACTCCCTTTGGAGGGACATTTTCTCTCAAACCATCACACTGGCTAAGAATGGATAAGGACTTAGAGCAGGGCTTGCTTGTTGTGTGCAAGTCCGGGTCCTGCTCCAGTAGTCCAGATTTTTCTAGAACTTACTATATACTCTGGAGGAGCCTTGAAATTGTGATCTTCCTGCCTCAACTTCCTGACTGCTAGAATTAAAAAGTGTGTGTATGACTCAGGAGTTGATTGTTTTATTGACCTAGTTTTTCTAGCTTGTTTACACTGTATTGTTACTGGTTTATTACATTTACCATTGGGCAACCTCATGCATGTATATAAGGCATTCTGAGAATTCTCAATCTCTACCCTTTTTTTTCTCGTGCTAACCTTTGTCTATCCCCACCCTTCCTCCTTACAAATTGCTTTCCCCCATTCTTATTTGTTTTGTCTTTGTGACTTACTGATTTAACCAGGGTTATCTGTGTGATTGTGGTTTTGGAGCTATCCATTGGAGCCTGGTGGGCTCTGCAGTGGGTATAAAATGGAAAAATGATGACGTCGCCTCTCTCAGAACCCTTCATTACCCAGTAGTTCAGTAGGGAGGAGGTAGGGCTCCGAGAACTCTTTGATCCATGATTGACTCTTAAAAAGCCCAATTTTGTGTGGGCCCAGTGCAGACACCTGCAGCTCCAATGAGCTCATGTTTGCAATGGCTGTATCATGTCCTGTGCCAGGGATCAGCTTTGACAAGGATACCAGTTACCAGAGTAGGAGCATGGGCATTAGAAACTTAAGTAAAGAGAACGAAGAGCACAAGTAAAAATAATAAAACAGAAGCACAGTATAGTATCGAGAGGGAGTTCCAGTGACTACTGAAATTGCCTGTGGTTGATTTTCCATACACTTTTATACCCCAATACAACAGAGGGGAGAAGGCAAAAGATGCTTTAACAAGATGCAAGGGACAACTCGAACAGTTATTTGCTTCAATACTTTGAGACATCAAGCCATTAATCAAGGCATCAAGAGGAAGTCATTCTGTTTAGGCAGTGAGCCCACCTCTAGACCAAGTATCCTGTAGGCAGCCACTCCATAGGTCAAACCTCCTAATTCAAAAGAAGGAGCAGAAGTATGCTTGAATTCTCTGACCTCCTGTCAGGGTGTAGACGATCTACCTGCAAGGCCCATCTTAATGTCCAAAACACCAAGTAACCACACCCTAGGTGAGGGTGGGTAGCTACACTTGGGGTCAACAACTTTGAGCAAGGTCAGTTCCCTGACCTTCAGACAAGGTGGAACAGACTCACATTTTTGGGGCAGACCTCCACAGCCCTGAAGATAACATTTTACAGCTCTTACATTCTTTTAGCTCCTTCTTCCACAATGTTCTTTGAGCTGTAGAGGGTTGATTAAGAACACTCATCCCTCACTTATTCTCAGTACCTTGTGTAGCTACTTAGTCTCTGAATTTACCACCATTGGTTGCTAAGATAAATTCCCTTGGTTAATGATGAAAAGTATTTTCCTATGTGTATAAACATAAATATTTGGAAAGCTGCTTGGTCTACGTCATCTAGCTAAAGCACAGTAGTACATTCTTTCCTAGGATCTATGGATGTTAAATCTCATCAGAGAGTAATTGGTGGCTATCATTACAGCTATACCACTATTGTACCAATGGGTTCATCTTTCCCGACAGGTCGGCATTGTAGTTCGTAGAGTTCATAGTGGCATAAGACTGTTGAGTTGTCCTCACCACAACTGCCTCAGAAGCCTGCATATATCTCCTGGCACTATGAAAGCTAGCCAATGGCAGGGAGCTTCTAGCTCAGATATAGATATCTCAATATCTTGCATCTAAAGTGTATGATGTCTTCAGTAATAGGGTTTTTAAAAAAGATTATTTTATTTATTATGTATACAGTGTTCTGTCTGTATGTTTGCCTGCATGCCCAAAGGGGGTGTCAGATCTCATTATAGATGGTTGTGAGCCACCATGTGGTTGCTGGAACTCAGGGCCTCTTGAAGAGCAGTCAATGTTCTTAATTTCTGAACCATCTCTCCTGTTCCAGTAATAGGGTATTATTACCTAGTTTTGATGGGAAACCAAGAGAATTGACAAGAGTCTATATTATTTTTGTGGGCTTCTGGTACCTCCCTGGCCAACAATTCATAAGGAGGTGTCTCATGACTGGCACTGGCTGGGATTTTTGTTTGATGGCTTCTAGGATCAGTGTTATTCAGCAAAGCAGGCTATCTCTCCTCTAGATCTTCTTTTTAAAACATTATATTGATTTATGTTGTGTGCATGTGCTCACACATACAGGACAAGGAAACATTTTTGTGGGAGTCGGTTCTGTTTTCACCATGTGTATCCCAGGGATTTAACTCATGTTATCGGGATTGATGCAAGTGCCTTTACCCTTCAAGTCATCTCACCAGCCCCCTCCTTTCCCCTTTTAACATGCATGCACACAGCACACACACACACACACACACACACACACACACACACACACACTTGGTTTTTCAAGACAGGGTACCCTGGCTGGTCTGGGACTCACTTTTGTAGACCTCAAAATCTCTGAAATCTCCCTGCCTCTGCCTCCCAAGTGCTGGGACTAAAGGCATGCACCACCACTCTTAAAATACTTATATTTTTTTAATTCGCTTGCCAAAGTAGTGGGTTTTTTTTTTTTTTTGTCTTTTTCAGGCACCTTTGTTTTGGTTAACCTTTATTCCTGCCTCCTGGTTTCTTGCATCCTCTCACCTTGTGCACTAGTTTATACACGTGGGAGATGGGTGTGCAGTGTTGGTGCAATTATAGTGGAGAATATGGACAGTATGGCGTTGCTGAGAGGGACCCTGAGGGACTCCTCCTAGATAACGCTTGTAAATTCACTCTGTTAGAAGCTTCTGGTTCCTGCACAAATGGTACAAAAAGAAAAAGGAAAGAGAAAAAAAAAAGATAGTAAGTACAAATATTTATATACATAGAATTCTAGAGCCTGGTGTGATGATGCATGCATTCAGTCCCAGGGTGTGGAGGCAGAGGCAGGCGGCTCTGTGTGAGGTCAGCTAGCTTAGTTTACGTAGAGAGCTTCAAGTCACCAGAGCTCCATAGTGAGATCTTGACTCAAAAACAAACCAAACCAAAACAACAGACAAAGCAATAAAAACATGATATTAGTAAGAGATGTTCCCATGGAATAATAATCCTATCAGCACTAACACTAGGACTAATTAAGTTTTCCTGAGCTCTAACATGGCCGTGTTAAAATACACTAAGGATTTCAATGTATCATTTCCTTTAAGCTTCCCTGAAGCCTACGTAGTAGAAGACGTTATCCACACTTTCTATGCAATGGAACTGAAGTTTACAGAGGTCACAGTAATAATCTCAAAGTTACAAAGGTAAAACTTCCCACCCAAGACTTAAACCACCAGTCCATAGTTCCCTACTCCACTCCTGCCATGGCTGGTGTTTGTGATCATGGCCCAGAGGAAGCTGGAAACACTGTCGTTTTCAGTGTCTTCTGCTCCAGAGCCGAGGGACACGTGCTACCCTTGGTTTGCTTTATCCAAAACAGAAGCCAGAGTGACCCACTATATGGAGATTCTGGATAGATGAAGCTGTAACTGTGTTTTGTAAATCCTTATGAGATTTCAATAACTGAAGCTCTACAAAATTAGTTACATTGCAAGTAAAATTTTTATGAATTGTTATAAAATGTATCAGTTATACATTCTGAGTGCCACGTAGATTAAATTTATTGCACTTTTTTTTAAAAAAAAAACCTCAATTTAACAACAAAGCATGCATCTTTGGTGTTTCTAAGCAGAAATTTTTTTCAAAATAATATTTCACTGTGGACTTTTTCTTGGCAATTCATATGATTTCCTAGAGGCTCCTGCCGAGTATACATTTACTACATAAACATAAAACTTGACTCCCCTAGTCAGAGCAACAACTGCCTGTGAGTGTCGGTGGACTTTATGGATACGTGCGGTCTGAATAAGGCCTTCCCTGAGCCCTGCCCTACTTCCCTGGTATTTCATAGTTGGTCTCCAGAAGCTATTTGTCCCAGTGTTTTGACTAAACATTCCTTTATTTTCCTAGAGTCAAGAATATAATTTTAAAACTCTTCCCCGATCACATTTCTTCCAATATGTCTGTCAAGTCAGCCATAATTGCTTTGAACATCTAACCATTCCCTAACCCTCCACCACATCCACACAACTACACATAACAATATGCGCAGCTCTTTTTCATTTTCCAAAAGAAAGGAATCCTTGGGGGGACAAGATTTGACAGCCCCTGTTATAAGATAATTGTAATATTAAAAAAAAAAACAGAGAAGAGGAAAGAGAAAGAGAAGCGAGACAGATGATGTATGCTGGAGACGTGTGAACGCTTACTTGAAAAAAATAGCTTCAGAAATTCAATTGAGACTGAAAGGAAATTATGCAAATCATCATTTTTGCACAAAAGCATCATGGAAAAGAAGGAAACTGTCTTGGTCTTTAGTCTTCCACAGTCCTGTCAAAGAAAGATTGTCAACTGGACTGTTAACATCCTGAATTCTGATTAAAGGAAACAAAACAAAATTCTATCGCCGCTCATTTGAATCACAAGGAAAAGAGATTATTTTGAGTGAAATAACCAAATGTTATTTTCTATATTGCTCTGTTTAAGTTTCACTCAGTACCATAACCATTACTGAATTCTTTGATGAGGTCTTCGGTATTTCTATTACATATACTACACATAGGAAGTGCTTCATAATAAACGTATCGGCTAGCCTATTGGATTAGTTTATGTGCCATTAAATCATGATGAAAATTTTATTTTTTAAATTATGCTGATTGCTTTAAGAAATGATTTTCAAATTTCCCTCTTAAACTTTATCTGCTCACCTAATTCATATATTCCATGAAATTTCAAGAGATGTGTAAAGGAGTCATGTACATGTAGTTTTCAGTCTTCCTCACACTGTGGCCTTTGAATGTGGTTCCTCATGCTTTGGAGCCCCCCGACTATGAGATTATTTTCATTGCTACTTCATAACTGTGATTTTTGCAGCTGTGAAGATTCATCATGTAAATATGTGTGTTTTCTGATGGTCTTAACAACCTCTGTGAAAAGATCACCCGAACCACAGGGTCGCGACCCACAGGTTGAGAACCACTACCTTGTAAGACCTGAAATTCTGAGGAATAAGGTAAATGCTGGTGGTAAATTTTTTGTAATATTGTTTGAGGGGAACAAGGAACAGAAAAAGAATAAGAAAATTTATTTTAAGGGATGAAGAAAAATAATGACCTCAGGCTAGTTTTCAGGAAGATGTGGCTGAAGTGAAGTGTCATTAGTGGGCTAGCTCGTGTGGATAGTCACGTGCTTTATTTAGGATCAGGAAAAAGCTGAGGTGAAGAGTTAGTTATAACAAAGCAAAAGGTTCCGATGAGACCTTTTCTCCTGTGACAAGACAGAATATAGGTTTCTGCTTTATTTTACCCAAAACTTAGGGTGGGTAATCTGATCACGTCCACAACTTTCCCATAATATCTTTAAAAAGCAAGGAAAGGAGGAAGGATGGAAAGCAAAAAGAAGAGAGGGCCAGTGTGGTGGTCCACCTTTAATCTTAGTACCTGGAAGGCAGAGGCAGGGGCATTTCCAAGCAGTCCAGGCCAGCAGACCCTACACGTTGAATTCAGGCCAGCCAGGACTACACAGTGAAATATCTCTCTCTCTCTCTCTCTCTCTCTCTCTCTCTCTCTCTCTCTCTCTCTCTCTCATTGTTAAGAGTGTAGTGCTCCTGCTGGAGACTTGAGCTGTGTCTACCACCAATGTCATATTGTTTCTAGCTACCTATAAGAGCAAATCCAGCTCCAGGGGATCTGGGACCACATCGGGCACCTGCTGGCACCTGCACACACCCTCCCCTGCCTAATTTAAACAAACAAAAAAGGATCTAAACATCAAGAAGCCCTGGCTCCTAACTGTTTCCTCTCTAGTGCATTCCTGTATTTTCTCTATGTGTGCATTTTAAAGCGACCTACTTGCTGGCCTTAGGAAGGTCTACATTTATCTTTAAATTTTATCAGGAAGAAAGAAGGCTGATAAATAATTCTTAATATAAAAAGACAGTTTACCGGGGAAGATTATGAAATTTCATTTCCCAAAGATGATAAAGCGATGGATATTTATCGACTTTCTCCCTAACAGCTCGGATTAGGTGACATTTTCTTGGAAGCAAAAAGTCTCCTTCAAAGATTTAACTTTTCAAGTAATAATGGAATTTGACAAGATAAAGTATTTCTAATAGAAATGAAGAAATCCTATTATTTTTCTCTCACATAGGTTAACGTTATTTTCAAGTGAACTTGGAACTGAAAATATATTAGGGAAATGTTTTCCTTGTAATTTAATATTACTAAGCAAAATTATTTTCTGAGGCTTGCTGTATGTGGCTCCCACGCACTTTCAGAGCCCTGGCGGGAGCTTGTGTCCAGCAATGTGTGTCTGTCTGGGCAGGCCAGTATTCTAGCTTCCCCTGAAAAGATTCCTTCACAAGTGTGTTCAACGTTTACTAAGACAAGAGCACCGGCTAGAGATGAGCAGGGCGCAGATGCAGGCTGGAATCAAAGGAGGTAATAGCACTCAATTACTCTTATTTTTCTTGGCAAACCCCTCGTTCCAAGACACCAACGCCTTCTCAACAAAGCCCAAGTACTGTATAGTCCTTTCTGGTCTAGCTCCGCTGCTCAACACTTGACTTACTTCTCCAGTGATGTTCCTGGGGGGACTCTGCGTTCGTGTTCCTCCACTTGGCGTTCCCAGCGTCACCTATGTTAAAAATCACCTGACTCTTGAAGCCAGGCTGGAGCTACTCCAGCAATGAAGCCTGGGCATCAGAACAAACGTTTAATGAGCCCCTCAAGTGATTCTGACTGAGCTCAACCCTAGGAACCCTCCCCGGAGGCTCGCTGGGTTAGACTTAGTCAGTTTCGAGAACTCCGACTCTCCCCAGGTATGCTGCTGTCAAACACAGCTCCCCAAATGTTCAGACCTGTTTCAGAAAGGCTGGCTGGCAGAAGAAGCAGTTCGGCTGCCTCCTACTCTCTCACTTGACTCTCTCCTAGCGCCCCCCCCCCCAAACTTCCTTTCTGACTGAACTGAAATCCATGGGAAGAGGTGATTATAAAAACTCCATCTGCTCAGAGTTTTCGCCAGACAGTGAAGTTGGCGCCATCTTCCCACCTCTGCAGACCAAAATAGCCTTCCTGGGCCTAACTCTTTTTTCGTTTTGTTTTGTTTTATTGAGAAAAAAACAATTTCCGCCTCCTCCCAGCCTCCCACTCCTTCCCCCCACTCCTCTCCCCCTCCCCCCACTCCTCTCCCCCTCCCCCCACTCCTCTCCCCCTCTCTCTCCAGTCTGAAGAGCAGTCAGGGTTCCCTGCCCTGTGGAAAGTCCAAAGTCTTCTCCCCCCATCCTGGTCTAGGAAGGTGAACATCCAAACTGGCTTGGCTCCCACACAGCCAGAACATGAAGTAGGATCAAAACCCAGTGCCATTGTCCTTGGCTTCTCAGCAGCCCTCATTGTCCGCCATATTCAGAGAGTCAGCTTTTATCCCCTGCTTTTTCAGTCACAGTCCAGCTGGCCTTGGTGAGCTCCCAATAGATCAGCCCCACTGTCTCCGTGGGTGGGTGTACCCCTCTTGGTCCTGACTTCCTTGCTCATCTTCTCCCTCCTTCTGTTCCTCATTGGGACTTTGGGAGCCCTGTTACCTAATAATTGCCGCACCTCATGGCCACGTGGGTTCTCACAAGAGGGACTGCTTTGCCCCTGATACAATTAATGTTGGAAATAAACTCTTCA